TCTCCCATTCCCTGCCAGGAAAACTAGCCGAAGTGACCTCTGAGGGCGGGGTCGCTGAACGTCGAAGTGCTGAAGACCTCCTATTGACGCAGAACCGTATAGAAACTGGTCCGACATCACCTGCTGCTGCAAGGGATAGCCGGCTTTCACTGGCCATTGCAGTGACAATTGATGGTTGTGTAGTTAATGCGTTAGTGGACACCGGCGCAGACTATTCCATACTGAGCGGGAAACTGACAACGCAGCTGAAGAAAGTAATCACGCCGTGGCATAACTCGCAGATTCGGACAGCTGGTGGCCATGTCGTTGCTCCACTGGGCACCTGCCCAACTAGAGTACAGATTCAAGGGTATACACTTGTAACGAGCTGCCTTGTTCTACGTGAATGCTCCCATGACGTCATTCTGGGAGTTGACTTTCTACAGAAAAATGGAGCTATCATTGATCTGCAAGAGCGCCGCGTCGCGTTCTCAGCCCAGCGAGCAATCAACGTGCAGGATGACGGAAGGCGTGTCGACGTACTCCGTATTTCTGAACAGAGTGTGACGCTTTCTCCCCGAGCACGTGTTCTAGTCGACGTAACATGCTGTGGTTTGAGCGATGGCGATGTGGTGGCCGAAAGAAATTTAGAATACCTCCTGCAGCAAGGCATCTGTGTAGCGAGAAGTGTAATACACGTTCGTGATGGCCGATCTGAATTGCTCGTTACCAACTTTAGCAACGACCATTGACACCTTTTCCGTGGCACTTCAATAGCGTTTGACCAGGAAGTAACAAACGTAACCAACTGCCTCACGTCAGAACTAGTGGATAACGCAGACACGTCAATGAGCAACATTGACATCAATCCTGATCTGTCCACCGATAACCAGACTGCGCTGCGAGCGCTCTTGTACGAGTACAGGTCTTGCTTCGCAAGTTGCTCAAAGATCCGCCAGACGTCAATCACTCAACACAGGATCATCACGTACGAGGACGTACACCCAATACACCAGCACCCCTACCGCGTGTCGGCTAATGAACGTGAAGCGATACGTACGCAGGTTCGGGAGATGTATGACGATGGCGTTATCGAACCATCCAACAGCCCATAGTCATCTCCAGTCGTGCTTGTCAAAAAGGACGGGTCGCTACGCTTCTGCGTCGACTACCAAAAGCTTAACAACGTGACCAGAAAGGATGTGTACCCGCTGCCGCGTATCGACGATTTGCTGGATAGACTTCGTCGTGCTCATTATTTCACTTCTCTTGACCTCAACAGCGGGTACTGGCAAATCGAGGCAGATCAGCGAGACCGCGAGAAGACAGCCTTCGTGACTCCAGACGGCCTATACCAATTTCGAGTACTCCCTTTCGACTTGTGTTCAGCGCCGGCAACTTTCCAGCGAATGATGGCCACTGTCCTCACAGGGCTCAAGTGGCAGATTTGTCTTGTCCACCTTGATGATGTGGTGGTCTTCTCTGCCACGTTCGAGCAGCACCTTCACCGCCTGCGCAGCTTGCTGGAGGCTATCCGATCGGCGGACCTCACACTAAAGCCACAGAAGTGCCACTTCGGCTATGAAGAACTAAAATTTCTTGGACAAGTAGTTAGCGCCGAAGGAGTCCGGCCCGATCCAGACAAGCTTGCCACTGTTGCCGAATTACCAGCTCCTGTCGATAAGAAAGCCGTCCGGTGCTTCCTTGGTTTGTGCGCCTACTATCGCCGGTTCATTCATGGCTTTTCACAGATAGCAGAACCTCTGACTCGTCTCACAAGGGACGACACGCCGTTTGTCTGGGAAACGAGCAACAAGCAGCTTTTGATGAACTGCGACAGCGCATGCAATCAGCGCCCGTTCTCGCTCATTTCGACGATGATGCTGACACGGAGGTCCATACTGACGCTAGTAACGTTGGGCTTGGTGCAGTGCTCGTTCAGCGTCAAGAGGACATCGAAAGAGTGATAGCCTACGCCAGCCGCTTTCTATCCCGTGCCGAGGCGAATTATTCCACTACGGAGAAAGAGTGCCTCGCAGTCGTGTGGGCAATCGCCAAGTTTCGCCCGTATCTTTATGCATGGTCGTCCCTTCAAGATTGTGACCGACCACCACGCCCTCTGTTGGTTGGCAAGCCTGCACGACCCTTCAGGACGGCTAGCACGCTGGAGCTTGCGGCTGCAGGAATTTGACGTCACCATCGTTCATAAGTCCGGCCGTAAGCATGAAGACGCTGACACACTGTCACGCGCACCTCTTCATGTCGTCAGTCGGGAAGCAGAGGAAGACGAAGGCTTCCTGGACGCCATTAGCTCATCAGACTTGAGCAAACAGCAGCGAGATGACGCAGAGATTCGTCCGATCATCGATAATTTAGATGGCTAGGGCACAATCATACCACGTCATTTATTCCGCTCGTAGCCATCATTCAGCCTTCGAGACAGTGAGGTGTACAAGAAGAACGTACGTTCGAACAACCGTGCCTACCTCCTGGTGGTTCCTCGAGACATGCGAGACGACGTCCTCTTCGCTTGCCATGACGAACCCACATCCGGTCATCTGCGCTACTCACGGACACTTGCCAGAGCGAGCGAGAGGTACTATTGGCCAGGACTTTCAGCAAGCGTCAAGAAGTACGTCAAGAGCTGTCGGGAATGTCAGCGCCGAAAGCAACCATCTGTTAAGCCAGCTGGTTTGCTTCAGCCCATTGAAGCACCTTGCATTCCATTCGACCAAGTCGGCATGGACATTCTCGGGCCATTTCCCCTGTCTGCGGACAGCAACAAATGGGTGATCGTCGCGACCGACTATTTGACACGCCACACTGAGACGCAGGCGATCCCACGAGCCACGGCTACTGAGGTAGCACAATTTTTCATGCGCCACATCGTGTTACGACATGGTGCTCCTTCCAGTATAATAACGGACAGAGGGACGGCATTCACGGGGCAGCTTATGGATGAAGGTTTCAAACTGAGCAACACCAGACACCGAAAGACAACTGCCTACCACCCGCAAACCAACGGACTTGCCGAGCGACTGAATAAGACCATCGCAGACATGATCTCAATGTACATCGACGTACAACACAAAACATAGGACCGGATCTTACCTCACGTGACCTTCGCGTATAATACCGCCCTGCAAGAGACCACGCGATTCACGCCATTTCGTCTTCTCTACGGCCGCAAAATGCAGACCATGCTGGACTCTATGCTACCGTATCAAGACGAAGACGAGTTGGCAACTGACCCCGAAGAATTCGCAGAGCGTGCTGAGGAAGCCCGGCAGCTCGCGCGACTACACATCGGCCAGCAACAGCCGGCAGACGCATGGCGCTATAACACCCGCCACAGAGAAGTGTTTTACAACCCCGGAGACCAAGTTTGGGTGTGGATGCCCGTCCGCCGCCGTGGCCTTAGTGAAAAGTTTCTGAGCCGGTACATTGGCCCATATAAAGTGTTACGCCGCGTCAGTGACGTGAACTACGAAGTGGTTCCGGAGTCAACATCGCAGGCACGGAGCAGGACACGACCGAGGCCGGAGGTCGTTCATGTGTTGCGCATGAAACCATTTATTGCGCGTTGTTCGTAACTTTTTCCTTGCCATACACTGTTCTTTGTGTTATTTATTTCTTTTTGTGAACTTGCTTCTTCGTTCATTGATTTTTCCTATATTGGCACGCTCGTTAATTTCTGCTTTTACTTCATCCGAATTTCCAATTTTTTTTCACGTGCCTATGTTGTAACATCGGAGTGGTGCTATGTACATTTCTTTCCCTCTTTTGGTACTTTTTTTTCGAAAGGGGGGATAATGCCACCCACACGTAGTGGGTCTACTGCAAGAGCAGCTCTACCATCTGGAGGAAAGAAAGAAGATCGCGTGCATCTTGTCGACTCGAGAGCAGGCCCCGACTGACGCATCGTCCCAGCGCTAGCTATTCGGTGGTTTAATAAACCCCCAGTACTTATGATCCATCGTGACAATATATCTGCGTCCGACACGCTAGCCGCGTGAAGTCGCTCGGTACTCGCGCAGCATGAGCTATGCAGAAGCTGCGCGAGAGGCACGGTGCGGTGGCTAAGAAATGATGATGAGTAATGACGACGATAATGACGCTACACCGCAGACACCACTGCCACTATTTTGTTAACAAAAGCTTGCGAAGAGTCGCATCAAAAAGGCGGGGTTATAAAATGTAAACACATTCGTCCAAATTACTGTCTTTTAGATTGAGCGTGTCACTTTCGAAGCTTATCTTCTACCTAAACGATGACGAAGTTAGCACGCGCTAGGAAACATCTGCCCGCGACGCACTAGCTCTGTTTCACACTTAGCCGATCCCCCTTTGTGGGCGAGTGCCAACAAAGCTGAAGGTTCATCATCATCATCATCATCATCATCACTCGGCGTTCGAAGGAACGTTCTGCAACACCCGCTGTGAGCATCACCAAGTGAAACGTGACCGCTGTGAACTGGAAAGTCTTGAGACGCCAATAGGGCCGACTGTATAGAGGAAGACGATGCGAATCGCCGTAAGTCACCTACGTCGAAAGAGCTCAACACCACTTCTTACCAGAAATGTCGGCAATGAGGGGCCAGAGAACACGTGGGCGAGCCGCTTCCGCGGGCTCCCGCATGACTCCTAGAGGCACACCACCGTATTTCGGGCAACGTCAACAGCGACCCGAGGCCCGACCGGAAGATCCGTTACCCGACGCTGGCAGGGCCTTAACCATACCAGAACTCCTTTGCCACTTGCCCGCCGGGATAGTGCCAAAGCCCGGTGTGACGACATACTTCATCGACGATTTCGTCATCGAGGAGTCTCTGCAACCTTTCTCAAGTACAACCACGGCAAAGACGACTGGTATCATGGGGGCGCAGCCTTGCTATCGCGTCAGCAGCATGGCCGCACCACCATCAACGATGCCGTGGACCGACCTGGGTACGCCTGGAGCAGTCACCGTTAAGCGCGAACCTCCGTAGCCCCTGGATTCGTCCTTCGTCGAGACGCCGGCCATGATCGAGCCACTTCCAGGTGCTGTGACGTTCACCATGAAAATGACACCGAAACGGAAGACTCCGTCCCTGGCCTGCAAGAAAACCGGAGGACTCCAGACAACTCCGAGCAAGACCGCCTCCTCTGTCCCAGGCACCACTGCCACCTCCAAGTCGGAGCTCGTCTATGGCGCGCCACCAAACGTCCTGTCGACGTCTCCCCGGGATTCGGTGGCTTCGCAGGCATCGCCTGCGCTGCTAACCACACCCCGGCAACGTCTGCAGGAAACCACGTATGCACTGCATAATGGAGATAACTCGCCGGAAAAGTGGACTGTGGATGACGTGGCAGATTACGTTTCCGGGATCCCAGGCTGCGAACACATCACTGAGAAGTTCCGCCACCACAAGATTGACGGCGTCGCGTTGTTCCTCATCAAGGAACACAACCTCATGAAGATGATGAATATGAAACTGGGACCGGCATTGAAAATGTGTGCGACCATAAATTCCCTTCGCTAGGTGTCCTAAGGAGATGGAAATTTTCATGTGTGTCGTAACATGGTTCACTGTGACATGATCGAAGGTAACGCAGGCAAAAAAGAAACGCGGAGTGACACGGAAATGTCCTATTTATTTGCGCTGCTTTCCATCATGTTAATGCCCAAAATTGTTATAACATCTTTTTTTTTTACATTAACACCAGTTGTGTTTAAAAAGAAAAAAAAAAAGCGACTGCCGCAGTCATCTGGCTCCCTGTTTCCACTCCTGAATGACGCTGGTAATGCGAGTTGAGTTACGTCACGCAAGCGTGGTAAAATCACAAGTGACTTTTTTTGCTTATTAGTGGTGCAGAGAAGTGAAACATTCCAGTCTGCCTAATTAAAGAGTTGTTACATCTGTTTACTTATAATTGTTTGACACCTCAGTTTTCTGTGGATTGTCTGCACTTCTGTGGATTATCTGCACTTGTCTGCGCTGATAATGAATTCATGGTTAACGTCGTAGCGATCTAGTGACGTCAGCTACGGTGGATCAGTAGTTACAGTGCTTGTACTGACCCAGGGGCCCTAGGTTCCATCCCGGCAAATTCAGTCTCACTTCAATGAAGGCAAAATGGTGGAGGCCCCGTGTACTGTGCACGTTAAAGAACACCAGATGTTTGAAACTTCCAGAGTCGTCCACTGCGAGCAACGTTACTGGATGAGGACAGTTGGAAAACTCGCGCGAGGAGGCGGCCGCAAATCGTCGCCCATTCCAGGTGTCGCTGGCATCGCTTTGCGACCACGTCACGTGACCTCTCCGCCGCGCAGCCGGCATCGCGCGGAGCAGACGGAGCAGCGACGCGGCTAGCAGGGCCTGCGCTTGCAGACGATTTTTTCCCTGCTGGTAATAATGGTTAAGTAACCTAAATTAAGTAACGTTAAGTAACCTAAATATAAAAAAAAGGCTGGCTCGTTGTTTCGTAACAGACCTTATGCATTAAATTTCAACCATGACAGAGCAGACGATAATGTTTACGCTGTTCTGCTTTCTGGAGAGAAAGCGGACGGTGACTCTGAGCAAGCAATTGTTCGCGGTTGAATTTTGCTCCCTTCGGGAGAACGGTCGGCATGCCGAGGTGTGCTGTGCCAGGCTGTCGAAGTGGATATTCATCGGCAACGTCAAATGAAGTGCCCTTCGTGCAGCGACACTTTTTCAAGCCACCGAAAGACCCCAATGTGCTGAGGGAGTGGAACAATGCGGCAGGCCGTGCAAACTTCGAAGTTACTCAAAGATCATACATATGTGATCGTCACTTTGATGAAGCGGACATTTGCACCTCCTTCCAGCATGTTGTGAATGGCGAAACAGTCTCGATTCCGCGAGGACGCTGGGAACTGAAGAAAGGTGCGGTACCGCGGCATTTTGCTAATTGCGCTGAGCTTGATTTGAAGCTTTGTGTAGAAAATGTTGGCACAAATGCAGCAAGCGTGCTAGTGGCCGAAGATGACATTACCCCAGTTCTTCAGAGTGAAAGTGAGACGTGCACTGAAATGCTTGAACACGAAAACAGGGCTGCCTCAAATGCTGAAAGCATGGAAGTCATCATGAAAGAAAGCTCCACAGGTGAACATTGGTTTGGTGGCATAGAAGACTTGCCCGTGTATGGAGCATGGTGTGTGCAACACACGGATGAGCGTGTTGTTTTTTACAAACTTCAAGAAATTGGTGGCGTAGTTTTTATTGAAAGAGCTGTCGTTATAAACAAAAACTCGACCGTTGTTGTCAGCGCTAAAGGGAAACTTGTGCCGGAATCGTCTTACACCTTTATTAACAGTGACAAGCTCAATTTTACCACCTTGAAAGACGCAGCGCCCTTTCTTCATCTCATTGAGAGCCTGGGTATCTGCAATGGTTTTGATTCTCGTTTATGTCCTTTAATATCAACTTCTAAGACGGCTGAAAGGTCTGGGAGAACATGGAGAAGCAAGCGATGTGCAGTGCTGTCGGCGAAAGCCTTATGCGTTCAGTGCAGGAAAGCAAAAAAGAACTTGCAGTGCAGGCAGAAACGACGTTCAAGAAAGAGCAAGTACGTGCCTTTGCCATCTGCGCTGTTGAGAAATTTAAGAAAGAAGACTATAAGAGCAACAGTGCTGCGGGAGAAATACAAGAGGGACCTGCTAAGCTTGAAAAAAAAGTTGTCATCAGATCCAAGCAATGCACTGTTGAGCGAGGTTTTAGCTGAACTTCCACCACTGCAGCAACTTGCATTTCGGACAGCACTGCAGTCGATGAAAGCGAAATCTTCAAGAGGTGTGCGGTATGACTGTGGGTGGCTGCTGAGTTGCCTTCTCTTGAAGATTTCAAGCCCACGTGTGTACCGCTTGATGTCAAGAATGAAAATCCTCCCTCTTCCAACTTCGACTAGGCTCCGACAAATAATAAGAGGAATGCCTTGTGAGTTTGGCTTTAATAAGCTCTCCCTTTCCAGCATAGGGGCTTTCATGAAGACTATGAAAGGAGTCCAGTGTTACGGCACACTAGTAATAGATGAAATGAAGGTACGCCAAGCCGTAGCTTTCAACCGTCAAACATACAAGATTGATGGGTTCGTAAATTACGGAGACGGTGAAGTTTCAGCAGCTACTGCTGATCATGCATTGGTTGCAATGTTTGTGCCTCTATTCCACTCATGGGTTCAACCGATTGCAAGTTTTGCAACAAAAAACGCAGCCCCCGGACACGTGCTCGCCAAAATAGTTCTTGATGCAATCGTGCAGCTACGCAAACACAACGCCATAGTCGTCGCAGTAATCAGTGATGGCGCCAGCACGAACAAAGCAATGTGGTCCAACTTTGGCATATCAGGAAAGCTTCACACAGCAAACCACAAAGTTCAGCACCCATGCGAGCCAAATCAAAGCCTCTACTTCCTTTGCGATGTACCCCACATTGTCAAATGCATTAGAAACCATCTTCTTCGACACAAATATGGCATGGTAAGTACCACGTACAGTACAATATCGCAATAAATAGTGTCGCGGTGCCAATCAAAATACATTTTCTTCGCAGCACTACATACGACTGACGGACTTTTTTTTTCCCTCTCTTCTTCTTGCTCATAGATTGGTGAACATCGCATAAACTATGACCACTACCGAGTTTTGCAAGAAGTAGACGGCAAAGAGCAACTCCGCATTGTTCCGAAGCTTACCGCTGAACACGTCTGCCCTGACAACATGAGAAAAATGAGTGTGAAGCTCGCAGTACAGGTAAGATTACGAAAAGCTGCTTTTGAAAGAACTTATAGCTTACCTGATTATTTAGGCAAATTCTTCACATGTGAAACACAAACTTAACTGGTACTGTGAAGTGTTCTCCTTAAGTCTTTTTGCGATTAATAAAATGCCCCTATACGTTTTCTGTCCCCTAGCTGCTCAGCCGAAGTACGGCTATCGGCCTTGATGTGTACCGGAGACTCAAGCAAGATGGCCTGGAAGACTGCGAGGGGACAGCCGCGTTTACCCGCATCATAAATGACCTTTTTGATGCCCTGAACATCAAGCTTCCTCGTTTTGGGATAAGGAGCACATCCAAGGAAATTAAGGCAAGGGCGATAAAATGTGCTACTTTTGAAGAACATTCGCAATAGGTAATGTTAATCAAGAACTGAGGCACTGGGCATATAAATAAAATACAAAACGCCGACAAACATTTACACCAACAAAAGCCTAGTTTAAGTAGACATTTATTTTGTAATTGAAGGAAGGTATTATTGAAAGAAAGACGACGAATAAATGTCTTGGAACTTAGAACTTCTCCTTCCAGATAACTGAAATAAACGTCGATGAGAAGGCGACACGCCGCAAGCGTGATTTCAAGTATTACCAGCTTCCATTTTCATTCAGTGGCACACATGTTTCATTAAAAAATCAGGTTAAAAATAACTTTATGCCTTTCTTCAAAGGTCCCTTTTTTATAGGCGTCGACGTTTGCATGTAAGAGCTAGCTTGCACAAAAAAGTAATGTCTAACATAAACTTTTCCCTTTTCTAGATCATCCAAGATTTCATGATTATCTTGGACTTGACAGAGAGAAACCACGTTGAGAAAGGAACAGCCATGTTCGCATCTCAAGTAACAATGGAGTCTCTAAGGGTGACTTTGTCATCTATCTTGGAACTAACAAATGACCTCCTTGCTAAAGGTGCACGCTACGTGCTCACAGGCAAGCTTAATCAAGACCCCTTGGAGGTGAGATTAGCATAATTCCATAAAACTGCGCACTTACTTCATTGCATGGAAAATAAACAAAACGGTTATGAGGAAGCATAGCGTGGTTTTAAACAGTCGTCATATCTCTATGTGAGATGTGCAATTCCCGCCTGAGACTTGCACTCTATAAATCCTCTTTATGCATTCCATACGCCATGCGTACTTTGACTTCTGAAAGAGATACATACGGTGAACTGACGTACGGCTTTATTACTACCATTACAGAGGTTCTTCGGAATCACCAGGAGCTTTGGAGGTGACGAAGACCATCCGACGATCCTGAGCTTTTCCCATATCTACAGGTTGCTGAGCCTGTACACACCTGTCAAGGCTTCGATTGCAGGCAATGTCCAAGAGGAGCCAACCTTAATACTAGCCACAGTGCAAGAGACGATGAAGCAAGGGAAGAAGCAGCAGCTGGCAACGTATGAAAAGTTGCGTGAGACAATCAGCGCAAAGATTTCCGAGGTTTGCTTGCCTGGAATAAGTTCAGCATCCCACTCGGGACCGACACCGCTTCCGGACCACGGATATGCTTTGCCAGCAGTACAGGAGTGCGTCGTATATTACCTCTGCGGCTACATTGTACATTCTTTTCTGAAGCACGTCAACTGCGCTGCTTGCATAAGCAGCATCCAGTCAACAAACACTAAATTCCCCGCTTCACTACTGACATTGGCAAGAGAATTCAGGAACGGAAGCCTCAAGCATCCCTCTACAGAACTTTACACAATGTTGAAACGCGTCGAAGAAAAACTGTCTCTC